CTTTGATGCTTTTTTCAAATTTCACCTTGGGGCGGAGTTATCTTTTCACAGGGGGGTAAGATACACTTTAAAAAGCTTGACTGTTAAAGACTATGATTTAACATTTCTATTCTGTCAAATGTGAAGCTATATTTTTTTCAATTTATTTTCTATTAATACTATATTGCATATTTGTCATAAGGGATTATTTCAGCTCATATTCAAGCTGTGGCTCCACAGATTTTAGGCTTTTGCATCATTCAGGTCTTTCCTGGTCTCCTACAGTTCGGATATCGGCTGTTTCAGAAGATGCCCTGAACCCTCACTGATGTGTGTTCTGACCACCTCGGTCCGTTCAGAAGACACACGGAAGTTCAGAGGGGAGACAGAGATACCTTGCCTCTATACCTCCAAGTGAAGTAGCGACAAAAACAGTAAAGCCGACTCCTAAGAAGGTGGGCCAGCGTAGTTCTGACCAACACCGTCAGGAGCCACCCAGCTGCATATTTCTTAAATCCAAACACTAGATTTAAACTTTGAGTGTGTTTTTTTAAGTCCCGTGAGCTCTCCTTTATATGCCTGAAGAGGAGGAAATAAACATTAGTGGCACAAATACGGGCTAAAAGTATCCAGCAGCTGCAGATCAGAAGATGAACATGATTATATTTTGTTCTAAAAGACAAGAGTCCTGCAACTCATCAGCAACTTGAACAACAGCAGATTGTCTGAACAGCCGTGTTTTTCTCCACGCCTCTTTTAAACACACACTGATTAATGCAAGCGTGTTGGAGCACGGTAAGAAAACGTCTTCCTCAATGACTTTCTTAACTGCCAGGGGAAGTGTCAACAATGAACGGGCTGTTCACCTATTTAGCGGTACTGTCTTCTGAAAGAGCCTTGTGTCAGTGAGTCATGGATGTGTGTATTTGTGTTGCAGTCGGAACCAGCTCAGCTCTTTGCCAGCCTGTCTGTGTGGTTTACCTCTGAGAGTCCTCAACGCCAGCAACAACAAGCTGGTGAGCCTGCCAGAGACCATAGGACAGCTGCGTGGTCTGATGGAGCTGGTGAGTGTTGTTGTGTTTGTCTGTGTCTGGACTGCTGGATGCTGCTGGTAATGTATGTTTCCCTTAGTAGTTCTGTGTGAAGCCAGCTATTTTACTTATTCTATTACAATCTGAGTTTCTGTCTGTATAATAAACTACTACTCTTAGACCCATTTTTGAGAACTGTGCTGTGATGTAGAACAGGGGTTCTTAACATTTTTGACCTCGGGGCACAGAGGTCAAAAACACTTTCTTACACCCCTAGTAAATGGCAAATGGCTTGAACTTATACGGTCATTTATCAAGTCCCTATGGACTCCAAAGCGCTTTACACTTCAATTATTCACCCATTCATACACACATATACACTCACCGGCCACTTTATTAGGTACACCACGCTAGTAACGGGTTGGACCCCCTTTTGCCTTCAGAAC